TGTTACAGTGGGGATCTGTAACCAGCTGACATATATTGTTATGATGTTACAGTGGGGTCTGTAACCAGCTGACATATATTGTTATGATGTTACAGTGGGTGTCTGTAACCAGCTCAGAGATATATTGTTATGATGTTACAGTGGGGTCTGTAACCAGCTGACATATATTGTTATGATATTACAGTGGGGGTCTGTAACAAGCTGACATATATTGTTATCCCCCGCAACGCGTTTTGCGGGGGGTATTAAAATGGACTCCGTCCGTACGTGCGTCCGTCCGTGCACATTTGTCTTTTCTGGAACAGAACTCTAAAACAGTTCAATATTTCTTCACCAAACTTGGCACATAGATAGATCTGGTGGTGTACTGGTGCCTTTTGGTAGTTTTGGAATTCTGAATAAAACATTTTTGGCATTTCCATGGCAAAAAGTTCGACTTAGCCTGAAATTGGTGGTAGTGCACTTTTCCAGAGCAGAACTCTAAAACCGTTCACTATTTCTTCACCAAACTTGGCACATAGATAGATCTGGTGGTGTACTGGTGCCTTTTGGTAGTTTTGGATTTCTGAATAAAATATTTTTGGCGTTTCTGTGGCAACAAGTTTGACTTAGCCTGAAATTGGTGGTAGTGCACTTTTCCGGAGCAGAACTCTAAAACCGTTCACTATTTCTTCACCAAACTTGGCACATAGATAGATCTGGTGGTGTACTGGTGCCTTTTGGTAGTTTGGGAATTCTGAATAAAATATTTTTGGCATTTCCGTGGCACCATGGCAACAAATTTGACTTAGCCTGAAATTGGTGGTTGTGCTCTTTTCTGGAGGTGAAATCTAAAACCGTTCACTATTTCTTCACTAAACTTGGCACATAGATTGGTCTGGTGGTGTACTGGTGCCTTTTGGTAGTTTTGGAATTGTGAATAAAATATTTTTGGCGTTTCCATGGCAACAAGTTGACTTAGCCTGAAATTGGTGGTAGTGCTCTTTTCCGGATCAGAACTCTAAAACCGTTCACTATTTCTTCACTAAACTTGGCACATAGATTGGTCTGGTGGTGTACTGGTGCCTTTTGGTAGTTTTGAAATTGTGAATAAAATATTTTTGGCTTTTCCGTGGCAACAAGTTGACTTAGCCTGAAATTGGTGGTAGTGCACTTTTCCGGAGCTAAATTCTAAAACCGTTCACTATTTCTTCACCAAACTTGACACATAGATTAGTCTAGTGGTGTACTGGTTCCTTTTTGGTAGTTTTGGAATTGGTGATAGTGCTCCTTTCTGGAGCAGAACTTTAAAAACCTTTCAATACTCTCCTTCCACTTTTCTATAATACACACCTAAATATTTGACATAATCATACCTCGTAGACATAATCATGAAGAGTATTTTGCCATTGCGGGGGATATTGATGACTTTGTCTTCTTGTTATGATGTTACAGTGGGGGTCTGTAACCAGCTGACATATATTGTTATGTTACAGTGGGGGTCTGTAACCAACTCAGAGATATATTGTTATGTTACAGTGGGGGTCTGTAACCAGCTGACATATATTGTTATGATGTTACAGTGGGGGTCTGTAACCAGCTCAGAGATATATTGTTATGATGTTACAGTGGGGGTCTGTAACAAGCTGACATATTGTTATGTTACAGTGGGGGTCTGTAACCAGCTCAGAGATATATTGTTATGATGTTACAGTGGGGGTCTGTAACAAGCTGACATATATTGTTATGTTACAGTGGGGGTCTGTAACCAGCTCAGAGATATATTGTTATGATGTTACAGTGGGGGTCTGTAACCAGCTGACATATATTGTTATGATGTTACAGTGGGGGTCTGTAACAAACTGACATATATTGTTATGATGTTACTGAGGGGTCTGTAACCAGCTGACATATATTGTTATGATGTTACAGTGGGAGTCTGTAACCAGCTGACATATTATTGTTATGAGTGGGGGTCTGTAACAAGTGTTACAGGGGTCTGTAACCAGCTGACATATATTGTTCTGATGTTACAGTGGGGTCTGTAACCAGCTGACATATATTGTTATGTTACAGTGGGGGTCTGTAACCAGCTCAGAGATATATTGTTATGATGTTACAGTGGGGGTCTGTAACCAGCTGACATATATTGTTATGATGTTACAGTGGGGGTCTGTAACCAGCTCAGAGATATATTGTTATGATGTTACAGTGGGGGTCTGTAACCAGCTGACATATATTGTTATGATGTTACAGTGGGGGTCTGTAACAAGCTGACATATATTGTTATGATGTTACAGTGGGGGTCTGTAACAAGCTGACATATATTGTTATGATGTTACAGTGGGAGTCTGTAACCAGCTGACATATATTGTTATGATGTTACAGTGGGGGTCTGTAACAAGCTGACATATATTGTTCTGATGTTACAGTGGGGTCTGTAACCAGCTGACATATATTGTTCTGATGTTACAGTGGGGTCTGTAACCAGCTGACATATATTGTTATGATGTTACAGTGGGGGTCTGTAACCAGCTCTGAGATATATTGTTATGATATTACAGTGGGGTCTGTAATCAGCTGACATATTGTTATGATGTTACAGTGGGGTCTGTAACAAGCTGACATATTGTTATGATGTTACAGTGGGGGTCTGTAACAAGCTGACATATTGTTATGTTACAGTGGGGGTCTGTAACAAGCTGACATATATTGTTATGTTACAGTGGGGGTCTGTAACCAGCTCAGAGATATATTGTTATGATGTTACAGTGGGTGTCTGTAACCAGCTCAGAGATATATTGTTATGATGTTACAGTGGGGGTCTGTAACAAGCTGACATATATTGTTATGATGTTACAGTGGGGGTCTGTAACCAGCTGACATATATTGTTATGATGTTACAGTGGGGTCTGTAACCAGCTGACATATATTGTTCTGATGTTACAGTGGGGGTCTGTAACCAGCTCAGAGATATATTGTTATGATGTTACAGTGGGGGTCTGTAACAAGCTGACATATATTGTTCTGATGTTACAGTGGGGTCTGTAACCAGCTGACATATATTGTTCTGATGTTACAGTGGGGGTCTGTAACCAGCTGACATATATTGTTATGATGTTACAGTGGGGGTCTGTAACCAGCTCTGAGATATATTGTTATGATATTACAGTGGGGTCTGTAATCAGCTGACATATTGTTATGATGTTACAGTGGGGGTCTGTAACAAGCTGACATATTGTTATGATGTTACAGTGGGGGTCTGTAACAAGCTGACATATTGTTATGTTACAGTGGGGGTCTGTAACAAGCTGACATATATTGTTATGTTACAGTGGGGGTCTGTAACCAGCTCAGAGATATATTGTTATGATGTTACAGTGGGTGTCTGTAACCAGCTCAGAGATATATTGTTATGATGTTACAGTGGGGGTCTGTAACAAGCTGACATATATTGTTATGATGTTACAGTGGGGGTCTGTAACCAGCTGACATATATTGTTATGATGTTACAGTGGGGTCTGTAACCAGCTGACATATATTGTTCTGATGTTACAGTGGGGGTCTGTAACCAGCTCAGAGATATATTGTTATGATGTTACAGTGGGGGTCTGTAACAAGCTGACATATATTGTTATGATGTTACAGTGGGGGTCTGTAACCAGCTGACATATATTTTTATGTTACAGTGGGGGTCTGTAACAAGCTGACATATATTGTTATGATGTTACAGTAGGGATCTGTAACAAGCTGACATATATTATTATGATGTTACAGTGGGGGTCTGTAACAAGCTGACATATATTGTTATGATGTTACAGTACCAATGCGATAAGTTTCATGTACCATCTGGCAAAAATACGTAACACGATAATGTCAGTGACCGTCCATTGTGGGATCGATTTGCCTAGTGGTTTGGTTGATGAACTGATGAACGTGAATGGCATTTTTTCATTGATGACACAATAATTCTATAGATAAATACATTTCCAGCTCCTGAGCTACTTGTGATCATTCATATATTAACAAATTTGCTCATGAGAATCAAAATCAAAATACACTGCATGAAATATTGTACAACATAAGGGTTTATGTTTGCAAGTGGTGACACCTGTCCTTTCAAATCAATCTCATCATCTACAGACACAGTACACAATTCACTGCTTAAAATATTCCTCTGATGCATAATGTGCAAATTTCATGTCTTCAATAACATGCAAGGTGTAATCAACTCACATTTCATCCGCAACACTGTAACATCAATAACATCCCAAATGGCGGTTTCGGGCTCTGGGGAAAGCAAAAATTCTGTGGAGAAGAAGAGTAGTCTGCCTTCAACAGTAAAAGTAATCTCAGCAATGTCACTTTAAAGCACACTGGTTACACTTAATAACAAACACTCCTTAATATTTTTTCTCTGGTCAATGGGGCACATTGAACATAAACTTTTACACAAATGCAGATGTGCAGAGATATCCAAACAATCTGTTGATGACAGCATTCATATTCACATGCAATGAGGGACACCAGCGAATGTCCAAAATCATTACAGTGCCACACTCTCGATTACTGATGCTGGCAAAAAGGAAAATCATCTACATCTATCTTGCAACATTGTTGTTTTAGAGTGTTTAATTAAATTATTTTTACTTCATCTACTTTGCTTCCTCGTTATCCTTGAAAAAACACAGAAATGGCAGAAACTTTTTTCATTGAGGGACATGTCAGGGAAGTGATCAGAGAACCACGTGACATCACTCATTCATGTAATATTGTGGGGTATGAAAATATGAAATTTGAATCTATTCCACCATAAAGTGTTGCAATTGTATGGTGTGTAAGAAACAGATTACTGTACTTGTGTCAGTCAGATACAATTATCTTACAAGTCGTTTCAAAATGTATCTGACAGCACTGGTGTAGTAATCTCTATTGATAACATTGCACTGGTGGTGAGGTGTCTTGTTGTATGTACAGTGGTGAACTGTGACTCAAGCTGTGTTGCCCATGTGGTGTTTCAGGATGGAGGAGATGGTGAGGAACATGCTGCAGTACAAGAGCAAGATTGATCAGCTGAAGCAGGAGAAGTCCAACCTCTCCATCACATATGAGGTGAGGCAGCTGAACACATGCAGGGCAGGGGGTCTGTCAGATCTGGTGGATGACATTGTGGACCTGTAGTCATGGTGTAGTGTCAGGGTTAACTGTAGCTTGTGTATCTGGACTTGTATTGTAGAGTATGATATAGCATCTACTTTAACTACAGATTCTACTGTGGACTTTGACATGGTGCCTTGCTGAACTATAGTGGTATGGTGCCTGGTTGAAGTACAGTGACATCATGTCTGATTTAACAATAGTGGTATGACGTCCATTCCAACTACAGCTCCGTGAGTTTCCAAAGTCTGCCATTGTAGCCTGTTATGGTTGAACTATAGCGGTAGGATGTATGGTTGAACTATAGCAGTATGATGTATGGTTGAACTATAGCAGTAGGATGTATGGTTGAACTATAGCGGTAGGATGTATGGTTGAACTATAGCAGTAGGATGTATGGTTGAACTATAGCAGTAGGATGTATGGTTGAACTGTGGCAGTAGGATGTATGGTTGAACTATAGCGGTAGGATGTATGTTTGAACTATAGCGGTAGGATGTATGGTTGAACTATAGCAGTAGGATGTATGGTTGAACTATAGCGGTAGGATGTATGGTTGAACTATAGCAGTAGGATGTATGGTTGAACTATAGCAGTAGGATGTATGGTTGAACTATAGTGGTAGGATGTATGGTTGAACTATAGCAGTAGGATGTATGGTTGAACTATAGCAGTAGGATGTATGGTTGAACTGTAGCGGTAGGATGTATGGTTGAACTATAGCGGTAGGATGTATGGTTGAACTATAGCAGTAGGATGTATGGTTGAACTATAGCTGTAGGATGTATGGTTGAACTATAGCAGTAGGATGTATGGTTGAACTATAGTGGTAGGATGTATGGTTGAACTATAGCAGTAGGATGTATGGTTGAACTATAGCAGTAGGATGTATGGTTGAACTGTAGCGGTAGGATGTATGGTTGATCTATAGCGGTAGGATGTATGGTTGAACTATAGCGGTAGGATGTATGGTTGAACTGCTATGCATGGTGTGCAAGTGCAGAAATGTGCCAGTTCCTCAATTTCAGCAGCATAGTTATTAACTACAAATATTTGTTTTAGATTGACAATTTTGATTGACTGCATGACAGTTTTCACTTGTGTTGGTGTAATGGAGATCTTGCCTTGCAGACAAACCTGCAGAAGTACAGCTCCCACATCAGCACCCTGGAGCGGGAAAACATGGTGCTGCTTAACGAGGTGAAGAAACTGGAGGCGCAGGTTGGTACTGTCATTGGTGTTACCCTGGAATGATAAAGTACAACTAGTGTTATATGGATAGATGCATGTGTCAAGGTGTTAATGTGTTTGTAAGACACTCTCTCTGCCCCAACTTACCAACATTGTTTGATGTCCAGCTGTCAGGCAAGGGAGATGACCAGGACAAGTCAAAGCTGCTGCTGCAGAGACTCAAGATGTTGGAGGCAGAAAACTCAGCCCTGGTGCTGGAGAATGAACAACAACGACACCAGTATGAGAAGTGTCTTGATGAGATAGCAAACCAGGTTGTTCAAGCTCTTCTGGCACAGAAGGTATGCAGAATTATCCCCCTTTATATTCACTACAGTCTGGTTAGAACTCATTATACTTACTGAGTTCTATGCTGTTTCCATTATAAATTTTTGAAAGAAACAATATAGTTATGGAATGGCTGTATGGCTAAAGTTATCTGTTTATGTGGTAGTTATGAACAGTCACATTAAAACATAGCCAGGATTGACAATGTTACCAATCTCTTTCTGGAACTTCTGTGCTAGCCCATATGTCCCTTAAGTCTTTAGGCCCATTTCTATTTCACTTTATTGCTAGATTGTGCTGGTTAACTTCATCTTCCTTACTTCAGACTCTGCGGGAAGAGTGTATGAAGCTGCAGGGACGTGTTCAGGACCTGGAGCTGCAGAACAGGCAGCTGAATGTCATGTTCCAGCAGAAGATACGATGTGCCTCTGACTCCATGGTGCAGGTGAGCATAACCCTCAATACAACTCTACCCCAAACCCTCAATACAACCCTACCCAAACCTTCAGTACAACACTACCCCAAACCCAATACAACCCTACCCAAACCCTCAGTACAACCCTACCCCAAACCCTCAATACAACTCTACCCCAAACCCTCAAGACAACTTTACCCCAAACCCTCAATACAACCCTACCCCAAACCCTCAATACAACTCTACCCCAAACCTCTCAAACCCTCAATACAACCCTACCCCAAACCCTCAATACAACCCTCTACCCCCAAACCTCAATACAACTCTACCCCAAACCCTCAATACAACTCTACCCCAAACCCTCAATACAACTCTACCCCAAACCCTCAATACAACCCTATCCCAAACCTTCAATACAACCCTACCCAAACCCTCAGGACAACCCTCCCCCACACATAATACAACCCAATACCCCCCACACTAAATACAACCCTATCCCACACACTGCATACAACCCAATACAACCCTATGCCATGATGATTGATACCTGTTATGTTTCAGCAGTCTGTGCCACCTCGCAAGCATCTTGCTCCAGCACAGGTTGGTGAGGCAACCAAGTCTAACACCTCCCCTGTCAGTATAACAGCCATAGTACACCCGCAGTCTCACCAGGTCAGTGCTTTTAACGTAAAGTTCTTAAAACTTCTTTATCATTCATTGCTCACATTCTGTTTTTAACTGACATGTTTAAAGTTTTTTACTAACATTCCCCTGTTGTATATTCTTTGACCATGCACCTGTCCTTGTTCACACCATCTAGCCCCGGCACATCCCACACACAGCCCTCCCTCAAGCAGCAGCAGTAGCAGGAGCAGGAGCACAAGCTGGGGGCAAAGGGGAGGCAACCCCACCAACACTAGACAGATCCACGGGTTCACTTCAGAGCATGTGTAGTGAATATGTACGTTCTTGACTAGTCAATCTAATACTATTTAAGAATCAATAATAAGAGACAACATTCAACGAGTCATTTCATTTGGTTAATCAACAGCATTTTGAAATATCTTACACAAAACTATGATATATGTCCAGTGCCTTTCATCACTAGCTTCTTATATCTAACCACTTACTTTGTTGCAGATGTTTGATGATAGTCCTGGTATGCCGCAGATGAGCTCACCTCCCCCTTGGCTTAGAGATAAGTTGGACCTGCCCTTGACAGATGAAAGTCGACCTAGCTCCTCTGACAACAGTCCTGTGACACCCCCAACCCCTCCCCACACAGACTCCATTGCCAAGGCCAGCAGCAGCCCAGCATTACAGACAAAGATAGAAACAGAATTCCCTGTCAATAATTCTAGTCCAAAGGTGAAACGTGTTACTGGACTTGAAAGAGGTTGTCAGTCTCTAGATAGGATTGGTGTTGCTAGAAAATCACCTAGTATCAAAAACACCACTCGTCCTCATCGTAAACCTAAAAGTTTAGGGAAAAAGTCATCCAGTGAGAAGAATGTAACTGCTGAGGTTGTTGCTGACAAAGCACAAGTTCTGCCTCCTCCATCTCCACGGACCAAGTCAAGAATACCTAGCAGGGTTCCAACACTTACAGCCAGTCAGGGAGCTCGGAAAGGGTCTGGTGACCACACACCCGAGCAGAAAGGGCAAGGACCAAAACACAGTACACCTCAAAGTTTCCATGATCTCATGTCACAGAGAAAGAAAGCACTCTCCCGGGATAATTCTCCTAAATCTGTGAATACATCGAGACAATCCAGTGACTCTCCCCGACACACGCTGCCATTTCGCAGTCAGTACTATTATGACTACAGTGATGAAGATAGTGACTCCCGACCAGTGTCTAGAGACTCTAGCACAGCCTCCACTGTCTCACTCAATGATCTCTTGGATAGTAGTTTAGACATGGACAACCCTCTCGACGAGGACTTCCTTTCTGACTGGTCTCCCAATTGTCTGTCACCAAATAGCCTCAACACACCTGCCTCAGGCCCAAGTCAGATTCCCGTTATGACAAAGGGGATGTTCTACCACTATGCCAATCGAACACAGTCTTCACCTAAAACTGTTAAGTCAAGACCGTATACTGATATTATCGTGAAAGATGGCTCAGCCACTGTGGTGAAAAGTGAAGATGGGCTGAGTGGGTGTAAACCTCTCAGACCAGATAACCTTATTCTTGTGCCAAGAGAAAAACAGTTTTCTTGTGGATTCAGTTCATCCAGTTCTTCAAGTACTGAGGAAAATAAGTCTTTGATCAACAGTGTTAAACGTAACCTCAGTACTGATGCCAAGAAGCAAATTACCGAGCAGAACTCAGAGAAAGGAGGTAACCCTCAAAAAGTTGAAAAACCTGACAGTACAGTCAGAAAGTATCCAGCAGGTGTTGCTGGAGATAACAAGAACTGTATTGTTGCCAATGTTTCTCTTGTTGTGAGTCCACCTGGGAAATGTAAAAAATCACCACCACCTGTGCCACAAAAACCTCCAAGGTTACGTAAATTGTCCAGTGAAGGTCAGTGTCAAGGTCGCACAGACAAGAAGGGCAGTGGGCTCATAATGGACAAAGATGGAATGCCATTTCTCAGTGAAAATTTGACTGTTGAAAAACAGAAAGATCTTGCTGCATTTCTTGTTCAGGATGTAATTGAACGTGTGAAAAGCAGAGAAGTTCTGGCATACCATCAAAAGGCTCCATCTTCTGATTCTAGTTTCGAAAGTGTCCGTGTAGAACGCTCTGGGAGTAAAGATGATGGATATTCCACTATGTCAAGTGACATTCAACCAGAGATTTTAGAAAAGTTCAGTGATGCTGCAACTCCAAAAGTTGAAATTCTAATTAAATGTGAACAGGTAAATGAGAGTGACATTAGTTCCACAGCAGAAAGCAGTACAATAAAGACAAAGGATGCATTCACTGATGTGATGAGTGATCATGACTCTGCCATGGAGACATCTACACACAGCATGGAGCTGCGGAACTCCAACCAGAGTCTGTCCTCACAGGTGTCCTCCTCCAGCTGCGAGAGTGCTGTCAGTCCTGTCCTTAAGGTCAATGACATGAAAAAGTTTTTCGAGGAGGAGGCAAAGAAACTTAAAGGTGCTAAACAGCTAGACTCTTCAAGGTCACCAATCATATCCCCCAAGAGTCCAAAGAAACGCTGGCCATTTGATAAAGACAAACATGCCAAAAGCCCTAATTCCTCCAAATCTATGCAACAGGCTCTGGAAGTAAATAGCTCTGTAACAGCTAAAGATCCTGCTCAGGATGATGGTTCAGTTCCAGCAGCTGATATCATCTTCCAGAACTTCACCAGTGTGAAGGACAACTCTATCTGTGACCATGCCTTGTCACTGCACATCAGTGAAGATAAATTGTTGGAGGATATACCAGAGGATGATGAGTGGGAAGCTATACACAACAAAACTGTGCAAGAAAGTGTTGCCATGCAAAAGAATACCCTCAAGTCACACCTCCAAAATTCCCATGAGAACATGCCTAGCAAACCTCAATCTTTCACTCAAAAACTTCCATGTTTACCAACATTAGATTCCACAAAGAATACATCGACCAAACCTTCTTCATTGTGCCTTGCCAAGGCTAAGTCAGACTCCAATCTGTCAAATGCTGGCCAGAGTAAATCTACCTCCCTGTATGAAGACTTCACACAAGGAACCTGGGACAGTGGGAAAGTTCCAGAACGTTCAGCATCAGTCTCAGAGATGGACTTCCAGCCAGCGCCATCTGCTGGCAGCAACTGTGATTACAAACGCCAAGTTGTACTAATTGACATCGATGAAACCTCCGTCCTATACAGGGTACATGACATAGTCAAGGATCACTGTCAGTCAAAGGTATAGTAATGGATATGGAGCAACAATATAGTACCCTATTAAGAATGACCAGTTCAATAGTAACTACATCCATGTTTATATACACTAGGATTGATAGGTTAGATATTGTCATTAGAGTACTTACAATTATCTTTGCTTAATGTCATATTTAGATGAAGTGGAACATATTGCAACTGTAGCATTATATATTAGTATACACAGCTCCATTTAGTGGGTATTCTTCTCATCTGCAGATGTCTCCTGCCCTGGTGTCAGACTCAGACAGTGACTCTGAGGCTCAGATCAACTTTATTGAATTACTGAAACAGAAAAGTGAACGCCCCTTCACACTGCCTCCTTGGACCCCAAAACACACAATGGATGAGTTAAAGAAGGTATGGCCTTGTATTTCAGTATCAAATCTTCTTTTGCTGTAAGTTGTAAAGCATGTAACGATGCATGATGAAAATAAGCACATCACCAGGTCCTTCATGTATTTTACATTTATTCATTTACTCATGATGTTTTCTATTCTTGCAGAGCTCTACCCCTTCACCAGTGTCAGTGAAGAAGTTTGATTCTTCTAACCCAGAAGATTGGATACTGAAGTTCAGCAAAGATGAAATTGAAAAGCATATTAATGGAGCCTCCTCACAAAATGGCTCTGCAGAGGATGTCTGTCTCGACAATATCGGTAGCAATCTTTCATCGGCAGATGCCAATGTTTCGAACAGTTCGACAGTCGCTCAGGATGGGTCTTTCTCTGCCCCTGAGCCAGCTAATGGTACACATGAGGGGGCATCTATTGAGGACAGTCCACGATCACCACCGTCAGAAGAGCAGACAAAATTCAACAGCAATTTCTACAGTCTGTGCAACATGGGTTCCAACAGAAGCCTCTTCTCCAATGGGAGTCATGATCAGGGGATTAACAAACTTTGTCCACCTGAACTAGAAAGACCAAGACTTAGAAAAACTGTTGGAGAAGAGAATATTGAGTCAAGGGAGTTTGAAGAAATATCTAAGCAAATTGCCAACCTTTCCAAAACTGTGAATGATTTGCATAAAAGTTTATCAAGTTTGAACTCAGCTGATTCTGGTTCCACCAATGAGCTTCCAGGATGTCCTCCTCCAGCCAATCAAACCACTGCTCAGCCTGCAGCTGCTCTGGATGGCTACCACTGGGTGGATGATGAGTTCTACATGGCATCATGTGGAGGAGAGGTCATCATAGGGAGCACAGAATTACTAGCTGAGGAGTCTACAAACTGGATGGATGACTTTGAGGACAATGATGGTGCTAGATGTGACCTGGATACTAACTGTGAGATTCGTGAGGAGGAATTCTATGAAATTCAGGTCAATGGGACGTCATACACAGACCTCCCAGGTTACACATACTCTGAGAATGGGGCTGCCAGTACCAGAGTCTACCAGGGCAATAAGTCTCGCAATGAGGATCAGAACAGGCCTCCAAGGAGGCAGCTTTCTGACAGCCACATGGCTGATCCTGAGGTAAATATGAAAATAAACACCAGTCTTGATTATTTCCGAAATTGTGTCCGCTGGTCATAAAAGGCAAATTGTGGTGAAAATAGAGCACAAAAGATCAGTTGTCACACCAAGTGTGAGTGAAAATAGTAAACATTTCCTGCTGTCCTGGCTCTGTGTGTCACTAATCACAAGTCGCAATTATCGCTAACCTACTTTTTAAGTGTGGAGTTTATTTGCCATACTTCAGCTGACATTTACTGTCAATGTCACTATGGACAACTGACTTTAACAGATACATATACATATGTATAGTATAAATGCATACAGAACATGAAGTGTGGGTTCACTAAGTGCTTTGTCTGATTTCCAACAAAAGTCAAGGTAATATCATTGCAAATTCTGTCAGAAGTGCATGGAGGTTGACAAATCTTTTTACAGATTAGAATCTATTTTGTGTATTATGGAAAGATATAAATTCCCTAATCAAAAGTTAGGAAGTATACTTTATACGCATTTAAGGTCAACATAGGTGTCACTACTATTGCTTGAAAAGAATATAATTCCAGATGTAAGGTTGAAATGTTAAGGCCAGATGGCATAGATTTGACAGTTTGTTATTCATATACTGAATGCTGTTGTCTGCTGCAGAAACGTGCCGACATCCTAGACTCCATGCTTGCATCAGGTGGGGAGAGTAATGACAGCCTCGCCAGTGACATCGGTCTGGACCATATGATGTGTCAACGCCTCATTGGCCGCAGGAGACAAGGTATTAAATCTTTGCATGCACTGATAATAGAATAGTATAAATATTATATCACAGCACGAAGAACATTTGGCAAGTTCAGTTTCACAACTTGTTACAAACTTGATTTTGTCGTTTTCAGCTCGCCATGAAGTAATGAGGTACCCATCAACCCACCGCCCTCCTCTTGACTTTTCCAAGTTCTTCATCAGATATGGAGACCCTGAGCGTCAGGCTGTGGCTGCTTTCGATTTTCTTGAGGACCTTTCTACTTCTAATTCTGAATCTGGATCTCTTCCAAAGCTAATAGCGCTGGACAATGTTGAAGGCAACGATGAAAGTAGTGAACATAGTCGCAGACACCGAGGTCATCAGATGAATATGAACAATGGTCATGGACAATCTCTGGAAGGTCACAGATTAGAAAACCAACGTATAATTACAACCTCATCAGGAAGGGTGAGACGGGTGGACAAGAATAAGCGGAAGAAAAGGGGAGATGCTATGAAAGCACGAAAGCAGAGAGAGAACAATTCCCGTATTGGCATGGGACAAGCCTGTAGAGCAGACTCTCCCCAGCTGCAGGACTCCTCTGATGCAGCTGTCAGTGCAGGCAACCTCTCACTGAGTGACTCGTGCTGTGAGGGCTTCTCCAACCAATGACCTGACTATGTTGTGAACCATGGCCTGCCCAGTGGGGGTACACAGTCAGGGATCCTTATCTTCCACATGCATTCACACTCTTTTGGTGCAAGGATGTTATATAGATGACATATATACACAAGTGTTTGCAAGTGTGTACTGAGTGAGAGGATAGTTGTATAGCCAGGGGTATAGGATAGGTCTCTCTATGTAGACATGACATCTTAAATTCTGCCAATATCGTATCTTCCATTTCTCTGAAGATATATTTATGTTCCATTATTGAAAGTATGGAATAACAATAATACAATGAAATACACTACTGTCCCATTGGCAGCTTGCAATCATCTATATATAGGGACTAATTATTGACTATTTTGTGGTTGTAATGTTCTAGTGAGATATTTTTCTTAGTCTTAGATTGAATTTATGAGTAAACTAAGGTTAGTGACAGAAGGACTTCAAGTCTTATGTTGTCAGTATTTGTCACCAAATTCACACAGATGCAGACTTAACTGGCTTCTATTTTACTTGCCATTTAAATATCTTTGAGTCACCAGAGCTTATCAGGTGCATACGGGTGCATACTGGATCTACTGGGACAAGCTGTACATATCTATATACACATGCAATTTCACCTGCTATATCTGGTTGCACAAGTGGCCCCTGCTGCTCATGTAATGGTAGAACACACTCCTCAAACATGCATCAGTCACTTGCATCATTACAGCATTAAGTACCTGGTACATTCACTGTTGGATTTCATCCATCAATCACTTACCAATTCTCAGTGTTTAATCATATGACAATAGGGCATGCAACATTCAGACGGACTGCTATACCTGTCTACAACTGCTGTGGTGTATGGGGACCACTGTATGCCTCACCTGTATTTCAGTCACTGTGGATGTTAAAAACAAACATCTACATGTAGCGTCTACCTCAGCTCTTCAAGCTCATTTGATCAATGTTCAAAGGTTCCATTGATGGGACAAAAGTAGAAACAAACTTTTATGTTCAGTAACATCTAAACCTTACCAATCAGCTTCTAAGAATATGTTCTTAAGACAGTTTATAATTGATTTTGTGCCACGTTGATCATTGACTCTAGTGCCTGTGGTTAAAATGTGCCATTACCCAAGTGAGGATACTCCAGTGTGAAGTACAAGATTCACTTGTTTTGTCGCCTCAGTAGCTCTGCCTTTTTCATCAGCCTGTTGTTTTAATACTGGCTGATTATGTCTGCAAATAGGAATCTGGCTGTTATTTGTGCTCTGTGTTGGTGAAAATCTGTGATTTTACATTTAAACTTCAAGTTATTGCTACAGTTTTGTAGTGATCCTATTGTAAGTGCTATTTATTCACACCATGCTTTAATGATTGTTGAATTTGTAATTTGCTTATTGTATTGAGGTGGAAAGTTGACTTTGCACATTCTTACATTTCGTGGTGTTGATTTTGCCACGAGAATGAACCCAGATGTAATATATTTCTTCTAAGTAATTATTATACCATCTCTTTCTGTGTTGTTGATTGAGAAATTCTATCAACAATCAGGTCAGTGAGAAGAGAACTGAACATGATGGAAAATGTAATTATCTCCCTTGATACAGGATTTTAAGAAGTTGTTATTTTAATGCTATTCTGAATGGTTATCAGAATTGTTTTAGTGAGAAATCCTTAATGTGTCTTAATTAACTTATTCACTGGAATGGATATACACCAAGTAGCTGTAAGTTTTACAATGGGGCCTACATCCTTTGACGCATCATCTGCAGTATTTCACAAGAATTGTTCATTTTTAAGGACATCAAATCTACCCAGTTTGAGAATTTTTATAAACTATTTACCTAGTGCCTCGTGAGTTTCAAAGCAGGTGCTGATGACTGCGAGACATTCTTGCCAATACTCTTATACACTATGCAGACGATGCCATGCCAACAAGCAATAGCAGCCTGAAGACCACGCCTACTTCGTTGTCATTTTATCTCCACCGCTATACATATCTCTACTCCTCACCGTTGCAGTGGCATTGAGACCCCAGTACAAGTAACTTTGTAAGGACTACCTAAATCTGCTGATTCTTCTTCCTGTTGGTCACATTGACCTCCATGTTGTCATTGCAGGTTCATCATCATACATTTTGTTATCACTACCCATTGTGGGACTGTATAGTATATGTATAGTGTATGGGATTTTACTGTCTGTGTGTAGCTTAACCAAACAGGTTTGTTCTGTTCCACTCCTGGCATGTGTTTTAAGGCTGTTCTTCAGTAGCTGTATGTTAACTGGTATGGTATTGCCATCATCCATGAACTCTCTACAAACTCATAAGTTCAGTACGTGGGATATGCTTTACATGTTTTAAAATGTTTCATGTTGCTACTGATAAGAATTGAAGGAATGGTATTTTGTAATAACATTATATATTTCATCAGTCTCTTACCTCACCAATTCCATGTTAAGTGATTGGCTTTGCAACAACTTCATCTTTTCTACTTGAAAGAAATCTTTTGATCTCATGTGTAAATAGCAATATTGCAGGTTTGATTTGCCTACTTTTATGCAGATGTGTGTTGAGCAATGACAATGGAAAGGCTTCCCACTGTTGGATGTTAGTGTCTTCAGAGTGAATCAGTTTTTATACAAGCCTGAATGTAAGCAATGATACTAGGTGTATGGATCAGAGAGTAGTGTTTCATAGGAGTACTATATATTTAATATATGTCACACTTTTCACAGGAGTGATTTCAAATTCATTGTATTTTATGTATGCGGTTGTTGACATGAGAATCGGATATTTTGTTCACAAGTTTATGAAAGATTTTTTTCTAAAGAGGAAGCATATTTAATATAATCTTGTATTCACTGATATCAGTGGACGTTTCGTATCTATTTACAGATTATTTATAGCCACTAGATTTGAAACTTATGAGCAAAACTTAAGTAAGTCACATGAGTATGTACTTTTTCATACCAATAATAAACTACTATATCTAGATGCAATGCATTGTGTTTTGTTGCCTGTGCATGTTCCCATTTACCAGTGCCTACTCCATTCAACACATCAACATTCATTACCATTTCTCTAACATACTGCAAGAAAGGTAGTACTGCATACCCACTGCAAGAACACCATTTTAAGAAATAAGGTGTCATTTTTGTTGGAAACCTGAATGATGCTATACAGCTTCTTTGGACAAGCAGATGTGTACCCAGGATGGGGGGGTTGATGACCCATAGGGCCATGACATAGGTACAGTCAAGTAGGCACAGATAGCTTTAGGAGTCTCCTCATTGAGCCAATATTGCTGCTGACCTGTAGCTACAACATAGTTCAAGTATATTCACATTTCTGGCTGAACACTTGGCTGAATAATGTAACTGACTCAGTAATTTAGCTGAGCAACCAGTTAACATATCCATGTCTTTCAGATCATCAAAATTCTTAACACATACTGAATCTACTACATTCTCAATATACACATTATTATCAAACTTGCATAATGTGTTATTTATATCCAGCGAATTTTTGCAAACTTGATATTTAGGTGGTAAGAAGATCATGGAATTTGACAGCTGCTGTCCGCCATTTTTCTAATAAGAACAGACGATGATTGTTGACATGAGATCATTTTCCCATAGACCTTTTCCAAATGGGCAGAGGAATTCTTGAATAAAGTAGGACAAATGAGGACACACTCAATATAGCAAAGGAAGTTTACTGTTGCATTTAATGTACATCCATATTAACCTGACAATGTTGTTACCAGGTGTGTCCCTGCTCCTTCCTCTGTGTACACACTCAACTATGTACTCCCCTCTGTTATACCATCGGTATATCAGTACATCTGTTACACCATATCAGCACCACCTGCAGGGCCAACCTCCAGACAGACTTGATAGTCAATGTTTATTTACATGACTAACATTACTGCCATGCATTTTGTTTTGTGGCTACTCAAGTCATTTCACTGACTGTTGGATGTTAGCAGTAATTGTAGTCAGTGTACACCACACAACACATCACCAACTATGAGTGTTACAGTCAACACATACTGTTAGCACAAATGTCACTAACACTGAAATCATATTGCACATAGAAAAAGATCTCACTGTCTGATCTTCAAAACCTAGAAGGTTGATTTCTGGTACATAGTGTATTTGTTTATCACAGATATGCTGGTCACGACTGGAGATGAGGATTGTCAAAGCTACACTGACAATCCACAGCAATAAATACTGTCACTGCACTGCTAACACAAGCTGTTTCTACACTAATCATGCATCAACCCAGCTCTATGTTGGGGCCAGTCCGGACCTAGAGATCTCTTGCATTACATCCACATGTGACCACTAACTTTTTGGCTTGGGTTTTACCAAGAGGTTTATTCACTGTACAGGGCAACTTGAGGTCTGCAAACCCTCTGTATACAACAGCACAGTCGGACTCACTGTACAGGGCAACTTGAGGTCTGCAAACCCTCTGTATACAAGCACGGCTCACAGTCGGACTCACTGTACAGGGCAACTTGAGGTCTGCAAACCCTCTGTATACAACAGCACAGTCGGACTCACTGTACAGGGCAACTTGAGGTCTGCAAACCCTCTGTATACAACAGCACAGTCGGACTCACTGTACAGGGCAACTTGAGACCTGCAAACCCTCTGTATACAACAGCACAGTCGGACTCACTGAGACAGCACCAATATGAAACTCGGAGATGGCGGTGTCTCACGTGACACAGTAATGGAGAATCATGAGCAGTAGGAGACAGCTAGGGGCCAGGCTGGATGGAGGGGTAGCGATGTTGAGTACAGATAAAGACAGCTGCATGGCAGTCTTGTTGTCCACTGCTACCTCCTTGTTACAGTAGGATGTTCTGCAGCAGGATACACACTCCTGAAACAATACAGCACAATACAGAAGTAATAACCTTGTCTCTGTCTCTGATTGTATTTCACTATTGACAATACTTTTACCTAGAGTAAAAGGAGCGTCAATACCAAACTATCCATGATGGCAAATACTTGCAGCAGAAAGCAAACATTGCCATAATGGCTCGCCTTAACCCTTAATATTGAGAAGTGTTGAAATCCTACCATCAGCAGAACAGGTAATTACATTAATTACAGTCAACTACAGTTAATCAATACACATTTCAGACCTAAGGCAAACTGAGAAAGTAACTGGGAGGGGCTACCACAATGAAACACACAACCTTTGTTGCAGGATAATGGGAACTTTCGACAGCTCAAATTAGGAAATTTCAAGTCTGATACTGTGAAAAGGACATCCATGTTATTGAAACGATAGTAAACTGATTGTTATAAGAAACTGCATCTGTAGAAAAAGATAGCCCCCAGCTATATTGTTAGAGTGACATGGGATACTGAGAGGCCCAGGTAGGTGAGTGCCCAAACATCCTTAGCCCACACCACTGGGAACAGATAACACTGATTAACCCTGGTATTCTACATCATCCAGGCTATCATATCCATATTCTAATATTTCTATCCTGATAAATATCTGAGACCTGTTGACCAGTTTATTATGTTTTAGTGACAGTATCACCTCAACCGATTTAAGGCACTCGTGATTGCAACTGGACGGCAGTTTCTACAGTTGTAACATTGTGTCAAAATTGGACTACATGTGCCATGATAGCCAATGACTAAAGGGTATATTTCACATCAGGACAGAGATATATACTGGAATATCAACAATGATCAATGATGTTACTGCATTTATGTGATATCATCTCAGGACTTATTTTTCCATCTTAAGACTTCCATGAATGGTGAATAATGTGATACATACACATTGAATACTAATATATACTTCAGCTGGTCTTACTTTGAGTGACTGACTATCTGTTGCACGGCACCCAACATGGCTTCTGCTGCACTGGGAGGGTGCCACACACTCCTTGTTGACCAACACACTTGAGCCCGTCGCTGACTCGAACCGATGGACTGTCCGGCATACTGTTTGCGCTGTGTCACAACAAAAAATGCTATTTTTTTACACATACTGCAGACTTTGGTGTATACCAGTTTGAGTGTACTCAGGTACATCTTGATAGTCACATTTATTTTTATAAACCGTACAGAGTTGCATCCCTTAGTCATACCACACATGCATGGGTTAGATCATGGTCTGCCATGGTTCATATGGTTTGACACACCATCTAAAATCTCATATGCTGTGATATAACTAAAACATTTTCAAAGCAGTAAGTCAGATGCAAATCACAAATCAATCAAAGATTCCGTGTTGCCTTTATCTATTAATATCCAGAAGACAGTCATTGATATATGCCCAATGTTGTTTATTGAAATTTATCATCCAAAACTGTGTTCCTGAGGAGATATTGCTTGTGTGAGATTAAACGATATCTCCTAGGAGATATTGTTTTGACAGTAGATTTTGTACAATGCCCTGACATCAATTACATGACTCACAATGCTATGAGGTAAAAAACTTGATGACATCACAATGCTATGACATCGCTGCACTGCAAGTCATATGGCAGTACCGTGTTCAGAGATGTACATTTTTCAATGAAAACTAAAGAAGAGTGACTTTTATGATAAATAGAATCTCACCCTCATGTCTTCTGATATCAAATATATCAACACTCCTTGATAAAAGTAAAAATATCCTTGGCAAGCCTTGGATATTTGTAACTTTATCAACTCGTGGTGATATCTTTGATATCGAAAGTTACTCGGGTGAGATTCTCAATTTATAATCCAAGTAACATCATTATGTATATGCAAACCAAGTTCATAACCCTGAAGCATCCTATTTTGAAAGATTTTACAGAAAACACTGGTTTACAGGAACTGTTTATCCTTAATTAAAGAAATAGACTGACTGACTGAGTTTAGTTTTACGCCGCTTTTAGCAATATTCCAGCAATATCACTGCGGGGGACACCAGAAATGGGCTTAACACATTGTGCCCATGTGGGGAATCGAACCCGGGTCCTCGGCGTGACGAGCCAACGCTTTAACCACTAGGCTACCCCACCGCCCTAAAGAACTAGAAAGATGCATTACCAGTACAAGGTGCCGTTACCACAGGGGTGTATATGATATATAATGCATATAATGAGTCCAATGCAATGGCTCACCTGCAGGGCACTTTATATCTGGAGCCCATCCATTGCACTCGCCGTTAGATGTCATGTTGGGGCAGGTCCAACACGTGATCACTACAGAGAAAAAGGCTCACATTGTGGTATGCATTGTTCAACTAGTTCAAGAATCGTGTAGCATAAAAAGAATACTTTCCCGTATAATACTAATTCAACAAGTGAATAGTTCCAGTATCTCACAAGCAAAAGCAGGTAAAATTATGGCATTACATAGGGACAAGCTTAATATTCGAAGATAATTCACTATATGCTTTCTTAAAACTTCATTTAATTGAAATATGGGAATTCCAATCATGAACTAGGTCAAGCCAAACTTCAATATTTAGCTATCATGTAAATATGAAATCAGTGGTTCATTCCTATATTGAGTTTCAACAGAATAATACAACTTCAAATGCATAACCGTTTAGACATATTTCCATACCATACAATCACCCTTCTTTAGATATTTAGCATCACAAAGTGCAAACATCACAATACCCAATGAATTAATTCGTGAAATTGTTGCAAGCTCCATTTGCGAAACAATGCCCCACATCAATGTTACATCAGCCATTTGAAGCTAGATTTTCCATTGTATGCAAATGTTGTTAACTTTATGAGGTTGATATATGTAAATGCTATCATGAATAGGAATTCAGAACTGGCATCATATCATTTCTTATTATCTTCTCAATGAAATTTGGGCACTTTATACCCAATCTGTATCTGGAGAGACCAGTCTAATCATCAGCTTTAAATGCTGTATTCATACGACACCACCAAACATCTCTTATGTAAGTCTAATTTTGATAAGACGTTAAAGTGTTAAGTGTGTAACAAAATATATACTACATGCATCCCTTTGTATTACTTTTTGAACCGAAACCTGGATTTGGCTTCATTTTGAAATACACACTGACAAAAGAGTATATAATAGGGGCTTGTTAAGAAATCTGTGCACTATGGTGTACTGTAATCTACTGCCATCAAATACAATATCTAGTCCCCTGTATGAGGAAAGATTTGTGAGAGTGTGGGTTCAGATCCCATAAGGAGTCAACTTGAGTGAGTGAGTACCCCACCGCCCTGTGTCAACTAGTGGTGTTCTGATTAATTGAAATCATCGAAGATTGGTCGCAGTGACCAAACGACCAAGCAATCGATCACCTTTTCTCATAAACGACCACAAACGATTCTTGAACTACTGTTTTAGCGTTTAAAACACTAGACGATGGTACATATCTTAGAAGTTGTCATGGCCTGAAAACATGTTTAATTCTTAGAAAATCACTTCACTTACTGAAAAGTCATCACTGAATAGTTCTTGAAGACTCTGGGAAGTTTATGTTCATACTAGTCATCACTTTAAAGTTGCAAGTTGCATCATTTTACACTGGATGTGAAATTTGCAAGTGCAGTTTGCGCAGTTTCTAAATAAATAAAAAAGCAACAGAGAACCATGTTATACTTATCTGCTATAACAACCTGAACAGGAAAATCTGAAATTGACGCTAACCAATTTTTGTTGATGACTGCTCGTTGGTAATGAACGAATTATCAATTGTGAGATTTCAACCAATTCCCAACACTAGTGTCAACCTGAGAAAGTACTGGAGCTTGTACTTTACTGAGAAAGTGTAATCCCAAATAAATCAATGTTACATATGTCCTCTTTTCTAAAGATTGTGTACAACAGATACTTACTGTCTTCTGTCATTTGTGCGTCAGCCTGCACGACGAGATCCTTAGAGAACACCTGGGTGGAGTACACCAGCACACACATGAGCACAGCAGCCATCCACTCTTCGTTTAGACACGCATACATACCGACAGGAAGGTACACTCACTCTGACATCAGGTAGCACCGCTGGAGCAATCTGTCTGTTCCTGTGTGTAGTCTGTGCTATCAGTGGAAGTATATGTGCCACAGCTCGCAGATGAGATCCACAGATGGAGTTGTGGGCGTCTGCCAGGTACACCTTCACACCTCCATGAGTTCCCTGTAACATAGTAAACACTCTTCCATACAGTCAGTCAAAAACAACCACTTTAGACATTATCTTACATAGTGAGTCACATTAGTGGTTGTGCTAACCAGCCAAGCAACACAGCCATGAAGCATAATTCATGTCACACTTCAAGCCAACACTTGTATAAATACAATGTAACAACCTCGAAACAAATCAAAGAAGTAATAATCCTGAGTATATCTCCCTGCAGTTACACCTAACATTGACTGCACCTACCCGAGTGATGCCAAGATGACAGTCCACAAGCAATTCCCTTACAGCAGAGAGGAAAAGGCCACTGCCGAGATACGATCCTTGGTCCAGTGACCATGTGATGACTCACACCCTTGCTGCTGCACTGCCTATCGATCAAACCAATCTAACAAAATCCCATTGATGCAGTGGTATCCAGGCCTCAGCGAACTTGCAACATCTAACTCTACCTCACATAATCACTGCAATGATTACATTCTTTCTTAACCGCTGGTCTTCATCACTGATGTAAATTCTGACAGAACATATTTGCTAAAGACAGCTCAATATAAGAGAAAAATCAATACATTCTGGATGTGGAATTGAGGCAGCTATGGTAGAAATGAATCACATCCAGCACACAGCAGCAGGGTTTTCCATGTCACCACACTTCTCATGCAATGAGCTAATGCAACATTTGGAAATTCTGACAACAGTGAAACTTGGACTCGTCTTTGCACTGACAACTACTGCAGAAGATGCATCTACATTCTATTCCATACAAACACAGCATTGGTATAACAAGGTGAGCTATGACTGCTATGTTTGCCCGTCTCAAACCACACCTGACAGGTGCGTGGACAAACAGCTAGTGAACGTCTCATCATGCTCACCTAATTAACACCAAAGATGGCAGTGTACATTTAACAAAAAGTATCTGGTAAACACTTTCAAGTATTGCTTTGGGCAAAGTGAACTGAATGGCTTGGTTACATTATTTAAATGTTAACATCACTGCATGTTAATGTGTGACACTGTAGAACAATATCATGCCATATATTATTGCATGTAAAAAATGAGGGAAACCTGTAAATGCATATCTTTATACATTTTCCCCTGAATTCGAAAACTAACATAGAACATCTCATGACAATTTCTTACAGTTCTAACAAATGAATACTTTATCTATATACAGTTAACATATTTTAGAAAAGCCCATACTTTAATGCAGACTTGTTTTTACACGGAGAGATTTCTCTATGCTTCTCAAGAAAAATTTGAATTATAAGCAGTAGTGCAATGGACAGAATCTTTTCTGTTTCCATGTGGATAGTTAGAATATATTATTTTTGATCATATTATAATTTCCCTCCTTACTCTTATCAGCATGGAGACATTCTGCATTATGACAGTCCTATTGTATTTGAAAAGCATTACTTTGAATGAGCACTCAAACACAGTTGAAAGGGTCGAGTGCTTTGTACGCAAAAGCTTGCACAAGGCAAAGTTGTAATGAGTTTATTCATAGAGTGAAATAGAACTCTACTTTCTAAGCGAAGGCCATCAAGCAAACTAGCAATAAATCTATGCCGCTCATGTCGATGCCTATGCAACAGCATCTGTCATGTGATGCTGTGCCAACACCTTCGCTGATACTTGTGCAAGTGGCCTGACAACATGGAACTTGTAACAAAATCCTAAATATGACATGTTACATCTGACCAATTTCTAAATGGCATTGTGTATTCATAACATGAAACATAGGCATCACGTGATATTTGGGGAGTATTAAAAATCAGTGACCGGTAAATTAATTTCCTGCTCAATAACCTATCACCCTATTATGTACCTATACATTTCTCGTTTGAATCAACACATGACCTCTCAACATGCTGAGGGGATTGAAGTATATGATGTGACTCTAAACAAGTACTTGCAATAATTTTAATTATTAAGGTAGCTCCCACCTACCCTACTACAGTCAGAAGCCGAGGTTAAACCCTAAATCATCATCATCATCAGTACTTGCAATAGGAAGAAACAGGAGAGCCCACCTCTAAGTCAAAGTATCCACTACAATCTCCAGTAAGTTTGATGCTGTTCCCAGGAAGTGTGATGAGTACGAGCTGTTCCCTCCCCATATACTGGCAGTGACAGAAGCTATGAGACCTTCCTATCCAATCAGGGTGGATGAGGGAACAGTGCCCCTCCATTGTCCCAAAGCAGGAAGCACTTGCACAAATGTTTGACTTGTTAAAACAACAGTAGCATCTGAGATAGGATCCTCAGCAATTACAGACCCATACACCCTGCAGACATTCCGGACAAAGCACAGTATACAAATAAGTATAATGTAACACAACTAATGGCAAGATGCTGTGAATAAACAATTCTGTATTTCAACTGCAGCAACTTGTCAGAGCAGTTTCTGTTGTTGCTACAACTGTATTGGAGAAGTCAATATGTATAATGCCTTCTCATTAGTCATATACAAAACCAAAAAAGGCTACTCTAAAGCCTACTGAAGCAAAACAATGACAAAATTTGGATAAACAAAAAGTATCTTAGGAACATTCGCAACAGAGAAACTGACATAGAAAGAAAGTGTACCTATGAATAGAATACAATGCCATGTAAAACATAGGATGGTACCACAAAACTGAAACATGGAATATTTGGGGTACATGACATCAACAATTAGTTATTTTAAAATGAAGTTAGTGAACATTTTGATGAAAATAAACATCTTTCGTATTATTTAAATAATAATAAGAAATAACACTATAAACTATACGATGTTAAATGTTCTACTTAAAAAAACATCTTCTGCAACCCAAGAAGAAAAACTTCTTGAAGCCATAAAACACGTTTGGTAGGGAACTTGTTCCTGACATTCAATGACATATCACCAAATGTGTCATTAACCTTCATTTCTGCCAGTTTCTTTATCAGAAAGCTGTGCTGTTGTTTGAAAATTGGGATTAAGCAGATGTTTGACTTTGCTCAGAACCAATGGAGAACAATAACCTACTATAAACTATAAACTACAGCCAGCCTCCACTAGCTACAATTTCCAATTATGCAAAACAACTGATCAGCAAGAGGTTTTCAGATTGGATGAGATGCAGCAGTCATCTGATGAAACTGGGGGCATTGGAGGCCCAGCCATCAAGGGTGTCCCAATCCGCTGTGCGGAATTAGCCCTCCTATCGAGGGTGTAACAATCTGCTGTGCGGAATTAAACACATGATTGTGGGTTTGAATCTTTCTTCGCCTTGATTATGTTTCTAGGTTTGTCTGCACCATACCCAAACTCTTGCGTTTGATTAAACTTTAAAGAGATAAATGCCTGAAAGCTGCATCACTTCGTGCCATAAAATAAAGGGAATGCTGTTCAAAGCTGCGATTAAAACAACTCACTCCAATAAAACTATTAACACTTCCATAGATTTTAAGTGACACTAATTGAAGAGTTCTATTGAAAAAACAATATCAATATCTTAGTGTTGTTGGCAAGTTATTTAAAAAAACCCAAAAATTTCACTTCTTTTTTTGCCGAATCATGGAGAAATCTGTTTTGCAGGTCCTTCATACAAGAAAATATACAGCATAAATTAGTATAACGTATAACCGAATAGAAATTTCTGCTTAAACAATACAAAGCCAAATTATTTTAATCAGTAACATTTGGGTGAATGTTAAAAGGTACACATATTAGATGTATCACACAAGCAGAATGGGCAATGGGGTAGTCTAGTGGTCAAAGCGTTTGCTCGTCAAGCCAAAGACCCAGGTTCGATTCCCCACATGAGCACAATGTGTGAAGCCCATTTCTGGTGTTCCCTGCCGTGATATTGCTGGAATATTGCTAAAAGTGGCGTAAAACTAAAACTCACTCACTCACAAGCAGAATCTGGAAATTGTACAACAGAAGGTAATATATCGGTGAGGTACAAAATACCTTGTCTCAAAAGAATTAATATTCAGACCTCTAAGTGCTGTGCTTTTCACATTGATCTGTTTCCCTGTAATATTAGATAGCTCCGAATTCAACTGTAACAGTAGATCCCTCCCAATTCAACCGTAACAGTAGATCCATCCCAATTCTACCGTAACAGTAGATCCCTCCCAATTTCTCCGACCTTCAGATTGAAAAACAAAACTTGGAAAAATACAACAAAAAAGAACAATCCAAGTAGGTGATTATTTAATCATTGACAGTGTATGATTTAAAAAATGAATAAGTTGAGAAGTATGTGTTTCATTCACAATAGACAACATTTTTGTGAAGTAGGCAGATAATTTGGCTGTTGACAGATTGCACTGCTCGAGCAGGCAGTTCTGTTTGTGAGACCCTAATTACTTCCAATCACAGCCAGCAGAGTGCATCATAAACACTGTCTATACCTATCTAAGGGCACCAGCCTAACCCAATTAGGGACAATTGGCCAGGTAAATATGTGCCATTGTAGCGTGCTCTGAATGGGAGAGGCCATGTTAGTAGATGAAAGTGCTATATAAACACCATTTGTGTTGATAAGATACAGGCTGCCTGGAACACAGCCCTGAGAAACACTGAGTACACCTATTACCATTACGCCACAATAACCACTACTTGACATGAAAGCAAGGGAAGAAGAGCTGGAAGCAACATACCCTTCCAAGGACAAAGGAAGTATTCCCTGCCTCTGCAGACCTTATATGACATTCAACATCCAGCTAAAAGTGGTATAAAGATTTAAGGTGACCTCATTTAGACTGAGTTCAAATATTGGTTCATTGTGGGTATGCTTGTCATGCCATAAGGAAGCATGGTGATTCATTGTGACAAAGACGTATATATTTACAACTTTAGTGTAAATATGTACGCCATTGTCACAACTATGGCTGTGATAAGCAATGATAAACAATCATGTTTTCTTCAGTCACTCCTTTCGCCTTTCTGAACCTTAGGAAGCCTGCTTTTACTTGGGGAGAAATTATGTTGCTATATATAGCAGAGGCAGCTCTTTCACATAAAAATATCACCACAATATTGATTGTTTTCTTTTAGAAAATCAAGTAAATGGCAATTCAAACAAGAAACCGATCTATATGGCAAGGTCTGAAAACTCACTAAGATACATGTTAAGGTGGATACCGATATTGAAGGTAGTTCAGAAGGGGCATGTCAGCGTTAGTTCTTAAATGACATTTTCAATTATGGAGAGTCTACAATAACTCCAGGTGTTAAAGTGTTGTGTTACCTCTCACTTCACCTTGCAACACAGGAAACCAAGTACCATGTAGTTGTGACCCCACTGACAGATGCTGACAGCACTTGCTGATGGAAGGAAGAACATATGCATTACGGTTTATATAAATGTTTAGATAAGCTTTGTTGGTTTTATTATTGATCCAAGATTATTAAATAAACACCTCCAGTACAAGAAAAATTCATGAAAGCAATATTCATATAATACCTGATTATAAGCTAAATACTTGAGAGAGTGAGTGAGTTTTAAGCTGCACTCAGCAATATTCAAGCTATATGGCGGTGGTCTGTAAATAATCGAGTCA